CCAAAACTGGAAATCAAAGGAGAAAGGCTATTGAACTTGAATCCACTCGTTGGGAAGAAACATAAGCATAAATGAATCCTAATGTTTGTTGGCCACGTCATCATAACCTAATAATGTTTTGCTACCATGTGGCAGAAAAGTTAGTTAATGCAGGTTTATTCAACAAAACTTTTGATAAACACAAATTGAACTTTTAGTTGATCTCTCTCTAGTGATGGCCTTGAGATCCCAACCAGTAATGTAACACAAAAAAAAACAATATTCCACATTATGTTTTTGATGCTACAATTTTCTAGAGTGCCAAAGATCATCCAGCAGCTTCACCTATAGGAATGATTTCCAATAACACGACAGAGATTACAAATTTGTGCCTTTGCCTCTGGATATAAAGATAAAGATAAAGATAAGATAAAGAGACTTTATTGTCATTGTGCAGAAGTACAACGAAACTTGTGTGGAAGAACACGACAATAGCAGCAGTGCAAATAAGAATAAAAAAAATATATGATATGCTCCATAGTACACAGTCACAATAAGCACCACAGCCTCATCGTTATATCACACGTCATAGAGCACCCAGGGGAGAGACATCCTATACAATTACTGCTAAATGTGTCATTTGCTCTACACTGAAGCACTCACACCACGCACATAAGTCATTTAAAGACTTACAGATTGCAAAAGGGTCACACAACTGCACTTGTGAAGCAGATAACGCACATCTCCAAGACAAGTTTTTCGAAAAAAAATACATAAAAGTGTACAATGTTTTGACTTCAATGCGGTTTATCAGGAAATTATAAATCCAGCTGCTGCTGATCTGTGATGTCTGGTTTTGAAGATGTCACACAAACAATACAATTTCCTGCCTCATTATCTGGAACTTTTATAGGAAAAAGTGTCTACAGCACAACCAGTAAGCATTTGAAGCCAGAGACAAGCTATAAATATCAATTTAAAGATATAATCACCATTTCTATGCCATAAATATGATACAAAGCAGCAATTTTCAACGTGCCCTTTTATAAATTCATGCTTATTTTTCTGCACGTTTCCATCGCAACTAGAAAATAAGAAAGAAAGGAAATATTTTCAGCTGTCTGTGATATCTAGTTAAGGTCAGGTGTTGTTGTCAGTCTGTCAGAATTAAAAGGCATAGAAAAAAAAAAAATAAATAAAAAATCTATATCTCCTGTGACGGCAGCATCAACAGACCATAATGCAACACAGCCAGGAGATATGGTGCATTATGAGTAAGCACTGCAACTCTGAGGTGGAAAATCTCCTTTGCTCTTGCCCATTGAGCTAAAAACTGTAACACAGCTGAAGGCACAAGTTGACATCCTTTATTGGACGCTGTCAGAAGTAATTTTCAGGAAATCGCTATACCTGAAGAAGGTGAGGGTAAGGCAGGCTGGGAGAAAGTGGGAGTAAATTACAACGACTATTATAGATGGATTATGGAGAACAGTGTGTGCAAAAGGGTAATTTGTAAAACTTTACTCTCTCAAACATTGTGCCTCTATCTTGAACTATTAAAAGTAGTGGGTGGTATGTTTTCTCGCTCTTCAGCAAATACATCTTTATACCTATTTTTTTGTTACCATCTCACGCTCTTGAATCAGTATGCGGAGGGTACCTGAGAGGGCTGAGTCAGTATCTGCTGCAGATTAATTTATTCAGTCAGACCACAGATGGATTCCAGAGGCTGCTGGCTGCTTTTCAACACCATTATATCTGGCTCGAAATGTCACATTCACAAGGTGAAAGAGGGAAGATCCACAGTGCTTTTACTCTAATTGGTGGCTTTATGAGTGTGACAGAGAGAGCGGGCAGCCCTCCTTTAACGGCCTCCCGACACAACATCCCTCCACAGGGGCGCCAGCTGCCCAACTTTGATTGTGGCCAGAAATAAACTTGAACGTGACTTTCGTGTCCTCAAGTTTCCTAAAGTGTGCATCCTGTCTGAAAGCACAGGTGGGAGGTTGAGAGCCGCAAATATCTGGAAAGCACAGATTTGATTCAGGTTTTCTACCGTCATCATCAAAAAGACCAAAATCAGCAAGGTGTTATTTTGACTCTCAAGACTTTATAGCTTCACCGTCTGATCTGTGGCCCCACAGGTTCTCATAAACCTTTGGAAAACAGGCCACAAATATGTAGTTTTATTTCTGAAAGTGGAACTAGTTCCTTAAAGCCGAAGTGTTCCTCAAACATTAGTAAGTAGTGCATTTGTTGGGGATTATTTTCAGCTGCAGATTGATAGACATTTAATGTACTCGTGAGTTTTTGCAGATTCTTTCACCAGACAAACACATTGATGTTGGATGATTCTAAAAAAATTCTTACTTGTTGCTTTCATTCCCAAAGTCAGTGTTTTTAAATTCCCCTAAATCTGATGAATGATAAACGTATCAATTATAGGATGGTTAAAAATAGGAAAAGATTGTGGTTATGTTAAATATAAAAACTAAAGGTTAAATTATGATTGTGGGAAACAAAAATAAACTCAAACACAAACACAAAGTGAAGGTGGACAAGATCCAGAGATACTGAGCTCCTTGGCTTATGGCAGCAGTTCATTCTCCGTCCGTAGGGAGCAATCCACCGGTTTCTGGAACACAACTATTGCCTTAAACATGGAGGTGCTGACTTGCATCCTGTCCACTTTGCACTCAGTTGCACACTGTCCCAGTGTGTGCTAAAGGTCATGGTCTAATGAAGCCAACAGAACCATGTCATCTACAAAAAGCAGAGATGTGACTCAGAGGATCCCAAACCGGACACCCTCCTCAGCCCCTGCTGCATCTTGAGATCCTGTTAATGAACGTTACAAAAAGGATCGGAAACAAGGGACAACACACTGGAAGCATGTTTGACTTTGTGCTATGGATACAAACACAGCTCTCACTTTGGTTGTAAAAGGAACAGCGTCGACAACCCATACTTCAACAGTACGCCCCACAGGGTTCCCCAAGGGACACGGTGTTAGGCCTTCCCCAAGTCCACCCATGTAGATTAAATGGTTAAAGTCCGAAGTAATGCCCTCAGCAAATCACAAGCAGGTCCACTGTTCCACATCTATAATGGTTGTTCATGCCTTCACCCATGGACATGAGCTCTGGGGGGTGACCAACAAAAGAAGATAAGAAAAAAAAAAAAAGGCCAAAGTGAGTTTCCTCTATATTGCATCTTGGCTCAGCCTTAGAGATAGGATGAGGAGCATAGACATCTGGAGGGAGCTCAGAGTAGAGACGCTGCACCTTCATATTGAAAGGAACCAGTTAAGGTGGTTTTGGAATCTGATTAGGATGCCTCCCATTGGAGTACCCAAGATAAACCAAGAACTTGCTAGAGGGATTCTGCTTTGGGATTCTACATCACAGGGGAAAGAAAAATCTGGAATGCTTTGCTTCACCTGTTGCCACGTGACCCAATACGGCATAAGCAGAAGAAAATGGATGAATAGATGAACGGACAAACAAAAAGTCTCATTAACCTCTCACTATAAAGGAGACACTGTTTCCTGTATTAGCACTAAATGGTGGCACAGAATGACAATCATAAGGTGCATTCTAGGACATGATTTCCTCAGGGCACTTGGCTGGAAATGCAGAACTAAGTTGTTGTATGTTGGGATAATTTCAAAACACACCCTTTTAATTGTCATATAGGAATATGTTAGCCAGAGCAACTGTGGCTCACTGTTTAGTTTTTGAACAACAATGAAACTCAGTGGCTGTTAGAATCAGACATGTCAAGGCTTGGATACACAAACAGTGATTGTAATTAGTATTTCTTCATTGTCGCTTTCAGTAATTTCATCAGATTTGTCCACAGCAAGAAAAGTGCATAAAAACGTAAGCCTAAGTGAATTAAAGACTCATTTTTTTCAAAGTTTGTGAGCTCAAGTCTAAACTGAACTTGCCGTGAGATGTAATATAACTGAGTGGCTCTAAGTTCTGATTTGGCCAATAAATGAACCTGCAAGGCACCAATGGCTATGGCCAATACACTTTCTTTAGAAATAGGAGCTGACATACAAAGGCTTTTCATTCACATAATGCTGTAAATGAATTGCATTCAGAAACAGAACAATTGCCTCCGATCACAGCTTTTGTCCTCCGTGTGCCATTGTTACGACTGTGAGTGTTGTGTCATATTCCTCAGAAGTATTTGTCACAGAAGATATCTATTGGCAGCTTATATCTGACATTTTTGAAATGCTAAGCTCTGTAGCACGAAAGATTGAATTTCTAGATTTATAGCCAACATGTCAGAGGCAGTACCTCGCCCTGCCGGGATCCACTTTCTGTCACGATCCTTCATCCCCCCTGCTGTGAATTTACAGACGTATCAGGCCCGTCTCAGTGGAAGATAAACTGCGGGATGTGGGAGGAAGGCGCATTGGGGGATCACGCACATGATTATTCACTAAATCACCGTGGAATGATATCATCAGTTTTCAAGTCACCGTGCATGTAAAGAAGGACCTTCAGATACGTGATGTTGCAGCAGGATGAGCAATGAACAGGAGTTTAAAATAATTTATGATGTTTGGGATTGACTGGGATCAACAAAGACTATTTTCACACAGAGACATAAGGAAGGTAACGGGGACGAGTGCTTGGTTGCAAATAGAGTATTAGAGAAAAAAAAAAAAAGAACCATGTGGAAACTCTTCAAAGAGGACTTTTGGATTTATTTTAACTGGATCGTGATAAAGAGGAGGAACAGGAACATTGAAAACGACTGAGGCGCTGACATGTGGCTCAGCTCTGAGGCTGATCTTTACCTGGGATGTCATGACTACATGCCCCCAGAACAGTCTTCTTTAATTGGTTTAACTTTAAGAAATAGACACCCCAGCACCTCTTCTCAACCGTTAGACGCTCCCTCAGCTTGTGTTTGGTTCAGCTGAATTGCCATAGTTCTCACTGGCACATGGCTGAGAACTGATGTCGCAGAAAAACACCAATTAATCTTTTTCCATCCCTCTGTCTGTCTGTGACTAAAGCTCCAACTCTGTCTCAAATCTTGCTTTTAAAAGCTTTTTGAGAGACTTTTCTCTTTTGGTACAGAGAGAGAGAAAGACTGTTCTGGTGTTGAACTGCTATGAAATCACCAGAAAGATCAGACTGCAGGGTTTTAAAGGCAGCGGAACAACAGAAAATGTAAATCACTGCCACTGCTGATAGGAAGCTATTGGAAATCAACAGCCAATTTTCGTTTATCCGAGACGGCACGGGAAAGGTTCAAACCAGATCACAGTGGAAGGTGTTGAAAATCAAGGGAAATCATCTGCCGCTGTGATGGTATGGGATATGTTGAAAATGACTCACTGACCTTGACATTTTGTTGTTGTAAATTTGATTGGATTAGTTATAGGAAAATGATTGAAAGTAGGAGTCTGTTTTTAAATAGTTTGCACATGTTCCCACAAGGCAAAGCTGCCAAGGACACTTGGGACATGTTTTATTGTCTATCAGAGAGCTCCTGGCACCAGAGAAGGCTTTTAATTTAAACTTTTTAAACTTTATTTGTAGAGAAATGAGTCTCACACGAAGTATAACTGAACAATTAACCAACTAAATAACATATATTTTGTAATTTAATTGACAAACTTGAAACTTGAAAATGCTTTGTTCACTTCTTTTTAGTCACGAAGCATAATATTTGAATTGTGGAAGGCCTTCAATGTAGCGTTTCAGATTATTCATTTATTTTTGCCTTTATTTAGGATGTCATTTGGCCATTGTGGTGGTGGCATTTGCAGCCATCCCAACCATGAAAGTCTGTAACCCCAGTAACCACTTTAGCTTCAGCTGAAACACTTTGCACTCATATTGCACATACAAATAGCAACACATTTATTATTATTTTAAACAGACGCTCTTTTGAAGTACTGACGTTCTATTTGCAGCACACACAGTTAGTTAACTTTTGTATGTTCAGCATTGTTTTAAGTTGTGCTCACCGTTTCTGTGTCTTAGGGTGCCGGGGTATCCAGTTTTCTGTGGTCATGTGTTTGGCTTCAGGCAAAGGCTTTTATACCAGAGCTGCCAATCAGACTGTACCAAGTGCCTGCCACTTCAAGGGGTGGACCGGGTTTATTTGATTTAAATATTACTTTACTCATTTGATTTGAGTTGGGTCATTTGTTATATTTGGGTTTGTTCATTGTTATTCTATTGATTAAGTAGATCGATTGTACTGTTTTGTGCTTTTTGTTGTTAGTCTAGCTGGAGGTGTTATATGTTTTCCCCTATTGTGAGTAACTGGTCAGATCAGCCAGTTTAAAGGGTCAGTATCAGGTCTGTTCTGAGTTTGTTTGATCAGTGCCTTTGGTTTGTGCTGCTATTTCATTGTCCATTAGTTAAGTTCTGTTCTTTTGACCTCTTTTATGGGCCCAAAATTTAGGATTGCTTTTTCTTTTTTTAATATATTTATATGCTTTATTGTCATTTTTCTGTGAAATAAAAACCCTGTTTTTGGAATTCACTAGCGAGTCCTCGTGCTTTGCAGATCGTTCCCTCACAGCCACACTTTTTTTTTTTTTTGCTTATCTGTAATACACCTGCAGTGTCGTAGCTGTAGAGCACTTTAGTCAAAGTGCTTGTAAATAAATTGACTTTACTTGACTTGAATTTTCTCAAAGAAAACGTATATGGGATATTTATTAAAAAATAATAGAAAAACACTTCTTTTTGACTACTAGCTACTTTTATCTTGTCCTCTTTTCTACATTTCACTTTATATCTGAGAGGAGCGCAGCCCACGGGCATTTAAGGTGCATCTGGAGTTGCTGCTGTCATCATCCATTTGCAGTTCTGAAAGTGTTCAGTGGGAGCAGATTGAATCCAAGGCTGAAGAGCTCTGAATGAGCGGTCCACAGAGGATTCTTAAAGTATGTGTAATATTACAGCACACTGATGAAAAATGGCTTTGCCCTAAATCAACCTTTTATCATTTGATGGAGAAGAAAATTACAGTTGTGTTCATTGATTTCTTTTTGCAAATGATTATTCTTGCTAAATGCGTTGTGCTGACTTGGGAACATACTTGGTTGAAGCTGTCAAAGCAGCTGTCAAAAGATAATTGGAATTTTAGATTCAAAGGCTTTTCAAAGGTTTTTGCTCCCAGAAGCCTCATCAAGACGGCAACCCTGAGCACGATTCTCTGCTGTACTTTGGAAAATCCATTTTGTTTTATTCGTGTGTCCAACATAGATCTAACATGTGCTTTTCCTCTGAAAATCCTCGTCTAATCTTAAGTGTAACAGAAAGCGAGGGCTCTATTAGTGGGTGGATGTGATGGGAATGAGTTTGGAGTTGGTCATTAGGGTGAAATGTCTACCTGTACTTAAATTAAAGTACTCCAGTGAGACACTAGGAGCTCATTGATGTTTTTTTTTTTTTTTTTTTTTAAATGATGGAGAAATTGCTTCATTCTGAAAGGAGTGATGTTTGCATTTTTCAGAATATATGGTTCTGACATCAATGATGACATAAAAACTCTGTGGTTTGTATTTCTGAGTTGACTCAAATGACTTTTAGATTTGTGCTTGGGTGATTTCCACAAACTGTAAAGTAAAAGTTAACTTTTATACACATTTACAACACATTAAACACTTTGTACCTTTCTTTGTTTTGTTTTTTCTTTTTTCTTTTTTTATAAAGAAATATGTTTCGTGCTACTACCCACTGCCTTTGCTCACACTGGGTAATAAGTGTTGTACAGAATGAAAAAAAACAAACTGCACATTTTTTTCCATCACAGCTTCTTTTCAACAAATTCGAATGAAAGAACGAGACTGGCTGTTACCGTTAAAGCCAGCTCTCTCATAGGTTCGAACTTCATTGTGGAGTGAAATTGTTATTTGCTGCGTGTATCTAAAAACTCTTACTGTTCCTTCATTTTCAATAATGGTTAAGCTCACTTCATTCTTCTTTCTTTTGTGAACTCAAATAAAATACACTGCCCAGTGGGGATCCTTCTCAGATGAAGGTAATAATTTCACAGGTTTTAACTTCGGTTTATTCTCCAGAAAAGTGCGAGCAGAATAGCACTCAGCGAGAGCTCAGCGGCCATTTAGGTTGTTTGCTCCTACTTTCTGATGCAACCCAGAGGAGCAGGAGTTAAGAGGCATATGACAGATAAAAATCACTGTTTTAAAAATTATATATATACAACTTGGGCCCAAAAAACAACTTGTTTGGTCTTGAAATAAGTCTTTTGGTAAAGATAGAGTATTTTTGTGGTCATGATTATAATTCAACGTGCCCATGAAGTGGTCGTGTTTAAAAGAAACAAACTATGACCCATCCATCCACCCCAACCTCCTCCCTCCCTTTAATTTGTGGCAAACTTTTGTCACTTCATCGTACTGAATGCTCAGAAATTAGCTTGAAATCTACAATTTTAACTTGTTCATTTGTTTTTGTAGCCAGTGATTCCATGTTTCTGCCCACAGGACCACCTACTTTGTCTTGCTTTCCCAACCTTTGACAGAATTCGTAGCATTTTTAGCACATGCTGCTATGAAAATGATTCCCAACATCCGGCCGTGTGTTGATAAATCTACAAACTCAGTAAATATCTTACCTGTTCCCGGGGCCAGATTAAATCTTTAGGACAGTCAAGGGGGGAGAAAAAAAAATGTATATGTAACCTTCAAACACACACATTCCCTGCAGTTTTCTGGAAGCACCATCCTCAACAGATGCAACTTGATGTGCCTGAGAATGTTTGAAAAAGGTGAAGTTTCCGGTTCTGGCGCTAAACAAACGCTAAGTTCAATACATAAAGCATATAAACAATATGACAACATGGAAACAGTCTCTCAAAATGTCATACGATAAACAAAATTTTCTCTGGACACGAACGGCACACAATGGACGTGTATATCATTTATTGTCCTGCTGTCTTAAACACTGACTCCTGTGGATAATCAGTCAATGAAAGTTTCTCGAAGTCCTGCTGCGTCTGTGCCATATGTGTCAGTATCTTCTGTCAACAAGCGTGTAAACAGGATGTAAAACACACAGCAGCTGCATGGGAGCAGGGAGAGGTGGGGTAAGAGAGTTTATCCTCCGGGATGCAGCTCTTTCTGCTGTGTGTTGTTTAACTCAGGATGCATGTTTAGGCCACAAAACACCAGAAAATATTAAAAGCCCTTAATTTCCCTGCTGGACCATTTTGGGTCTTTGTGTGAAAGAATTCAAATAATTCAAACTAAAAACCTGAAAGAATTCCTCGACTCTTAAGAGGATGATTCATGGAGCAACACAACAGCTTTATTGTCGCCCCAGTTTGTATATTAGCGAAAGTGCAGCCCCCCCAAATAAACGCTCAGAGCCAGCTCGAACAAAGGAAGGAAATCATACTCAATGCTTGAAGTCTGTTCCAAGAACTGAGACTCAGGCTAATGACAAAAAAGTTGTATAGCCTTTGTTTCAGACAAATGAATTCATGGCATGCAAGGCTCAGCGAAGGCAAATACTGTGTGATTTATACACATAGCAGCCAGGTTTCTCACTGACGTTGTTTCTTCCTGCTGCTTTAATGCAGACTTACAATGCAGCCGGTCAAATTTGCAATTTAGAAATGTGAACACTGGCATATATTGATTTGTGCAGTCTTAAGCTAGATCAGAAATGCACTCTGCTCTCCTTCTACGTCTAGAAGGAATAAAAATAAAAGGCTGTTCGCATCTGGCTTGAGGCGGCACACCTCTGTTTTACACTTCCAGCTGAATTTTGACGGGTTTGATGTTACAAAGCGTAATTCATATTTCAGCAGGGATATGTCTTGAAACAAACAAAACTAAAAAATCAAACATCTTTTCAACTTCTCCAACTTGACATCTCGGCTGAAACGATCAAAACGCCTGTTGATCGACTCGATAAACAGACAAGTAAAGTAAGTGTTGTATCTGTGGCGGTTAAATGAGACATTACTGTTTCAGTTACACTTATGTCAGATGCATTTGGGGATAACAGAGTGAGGAAGAGAGTGCATTTTGTCAGTGAGGGCTGAGATTAAGCTCTGTGTTGGGCAGACTCTCGGGAATACATTATTCAGCGCCTGTCTTACTACTTTAAACCGACTTATCCGAGGACGGGATTCTGCATTTGCACTTTACCTCAAGGCAGATGCACAGCCCTTTTATTTCTCTCCATTACTGATTAGGTGAGTTCTTCATCCAGGCTTGCAGCATAGTTCTTAATGTCAGGGACTGAAATATCTCCAACCATTGAATGAAATGTGATATTTCTATGTTTCCCCTGAGGACGGTGTTGAGAGTAGTGCTTTACAAAGTAACACATTGGTGTAATCCCATTACATTTGGTCTGTAATGCAGTTATGTCATGCATTACGGTCAGTGAAGTCCATTGTTTATAAACTACTGCACAAGTCATCTGATGGCACTTCAAGTCGAAACCTTACAATATCATACCATAGAGGAAAAACTCAAAGAATTCAATGATTCCCTTTGAGGAAACATTTCACATCAGTGGGGTGGGAAAAAAAAACACGTCAACGTTATTAATCAGTTACTGCTTTTATTTTGAGGTAGTAAATCTTTTTGCATTTGTCGCCTCGATTCTGTGAAGTCTGCATTGTTGTTGTTTTTTTTTTTACCAAGTTTGTACTTTAATAAAGAGCACAAACGACAGAGCTTGTGCATGTTCTCCTACGGATTCGTACTTTATCCTGTATTGATACTGACAACGGCATGTTGCATAGTAACACAAAATTAATCCAATTACTTTCTGCATGCAGTAAATAAGTAAGGTCATGTATTGCTGTAATAAAGTAACGATTAACTTTTTTATTGTTTAGTACGACACTGCCAGACAATAAATTCGTATGAGTTCAACATTAATTTAATGCTTACCATATTCGTCATTTGAGTTTAGCATATGTGTTTAGTGTTAATTAACTTTTGGTAATTAACACTAAATACAAATTAAAGCTGAAGTGAATACTGGCATCTAATCTAAAATGACAAATAAAGTTATGAAACATTAAAAGTTTGTACTGACAAAAAGCACTAGTACTGCAAATAAGACAAGAAAGGAATGGATGTAGAAAACTGTCAGTGGTGTAACTGAATATATTTATTTTAGCACTCTTCATGTATTTAGTCCTACAGAAAAACTGCATTGACTAAAGGTGAGACTGATGGCTTGATATTTTTGGCTGAAAACTTGATTATCTTTCTTGTGACTGGACACTGTGTTCAAAAACATCGCCCCGTTCATTCCCAGGACATCTGAAAAATGGCATGGAGAGGGTGTCAAATTTAGATGCTGTTCAAAGTCAAACACTGCGACCTAATTCATCCCATTAATGCTAAAAATGAAACTGAATCAAGTTAAGCTCTCCTTCTTGTCAAAAACTGCACTGATAGAGAAAAAGACAAGCGTTCATCTATCAAACAAACTCCTTGATGAATCACTAAAGGTGCATTTTTAGTACTTCCATTAAACACAGTTTGACTTATTTAAAGCAGAGTCTCTGAACTCATTTTTAACAACCACTACAATCTGGGATTCTACGGAGCCATCCAGCATGTGCACAGGTGTTGTTTTAACTCTACTTTTATGACCCACAGGGTTCCTAGATGAGGAGTTTAATAGCCCATCTATAGTAGAAGATCACAGATTGTTCGCTCACCATGTTTCTAGTATCACTACAACACACCAAACAAGTGTAAACTGTGCCACAATCCAACACAACCATTTTATAATCTTCATTCTGAACATGAAATCTTTCACAATTCACTTCAACCCTCCTTCTTTTTTCTTTTTTTCTCTTCACAAGAGTAGAGTTGATGTAACTCGGACATTTCTCTGCACAGATGTTGCAGCACAGGCAGCATATTTGGTCATAGACATGGTTTATAATTAAAGACTTGGGAGGCCATTTCAGCGAATACTCTGGTGGTCCCAAGCAGCATCCACTTCTCTGAAGGAGATCCTGCCCTGAGGCGAGTCGGGCTGCTGGTGCACCGCGCACAGCTAAAACTAGACATTCAAAAGTGCTAAATTATCAAACTGGAAGGCTGTTGAAGGTTCTACTGTGGAGGGGACTCTTAATTCTGTCTGTATTCAAAGCATGGATGGTGATTACTTTAATTTGAACGGCTCTATCGGGGTGTCTGCATTAGTGATGGTCATTTTGTAGCCTGCAGAAACAGACAAAGCATTAATAGATAACGTCTTTTGGAGTAATGTTGACCGTGTTACATTATGAAGGAGCAGCTAAATGACTGTGTGAGGCGTATCCAAGTCTTAGAATTAAAAACTCAAGGTTCTTGTTTAAGAAACATGTTGCTGTCAGTACATCATAAACAATTCAAAAGTAAAGTGAGGGGGGGAGGGGGACAGATTCTCATGGAGAAGCATAATTGGGTGCTCGTGAAGTAGGACAGTGAATGTTTCATGACAGAGCAGCAGGTATGACTTATTGCCCACCAGCAGCTGTTGACTGCCTCTGCTTTATATATCACCAACAAACACCTGTTTACCATAAATTAGCATTACTTTTCCCCCATATTAGCTTTGTGCTGACTTACTGCACCTTGACCAATGAAGCGGTGCTGTTTCTCAACCGAAATCCATTTTCTGATTGTGGGAACCGATCGAGACTTTTCGCTGCATTGCCACAGTAAATCCTATTCATCCCTTCACAGCTGTTACTCGCAGCATTTAGGTGCAATCTCAGGTTCTGAAAGCTGTTTTTGAATGTGACGAAACTCATCATTCTGTGGTTTTAGATCCAGTATGTGCTGTCGCAGCTATCAAAATCTGTTTCTAACTAGTCCATGAATATAAAGAGATTGCATTGTTTCACTATGAGCATAACATTTGTGGCCCTATCTAAAAATTCGCTGGGACAATATTTTAAATTTGAATGGTTTTGTTTTTACATTGCAGTACTACTAATCTACCTGGGTGAAAAAAATAAAAATAAAAATCCAAATATTCTCACTACTGCCTTTTTGGCACATTTGACAGTTTCAGACTGCATATGCACTAATCTGGAACATGCAACTCTACTTGAAGAGTTCTTAGTGATGCATGATTATTACTGTTATTTTTTTAAATCTAATTTTTGAAAAATAGTTTTATCTATAACTACAACTGACAACTAAGTATGATGCTTAAAACGCAGCTGATTGTAGAGTGCATTAACTGGGCTGGAGACATACATATGTACTCATGAGAAATTCAACAGAAATAACAAAGGACACCATTTTATTTACAAGGATCTTAGAAATGTGCAGCATAGCTTAGGAGCAAAAACATTTTGTTGTAAAATTACAGCCAATTTTCTATTTACACCCTATATTTCATTTGTGAAAGTAGGTTTAAATAATCACATTTTCAGACTGAACTCTCGGCTAATATCCTGGTGAAGTACAGCATGGCAGGCTGTGCAGTGGCGTTGTGGATGCTGTAGGCATGCCCTGTGAGAACAGAAGAACAACATCAATCAGAACCCAAGCAAGCAAGAAAACTGGATTACAACCTCTATAGAGTTGATGTAACAATATCACATTCTTACCACACTCCACCATACAGGACTGTCCTGGGCTGAGGTGGGACTCACTGCCGTCGATGGTCACGTTCACAGAGCTTGTTAATAAGTTAAAGACCTTTAAAATGAAAGACATGAATTAAAGAAAAAGAAACAATGAATAGCCTTTGAAGAAATAAAAAACAGAATCATATGTGAGAATCAGAATGAGTCGTGTACGAACAGTTGTGGCGCTGTGATCGACCCACAGAGGCTTCTTGGCGTGGGAACCCAGCAGGATCTTTCCATTGCAGATGGAGCGACTGTGCAGGTCCACCTGGAAGCCAATAACTCTGTCCTGATAGAAGTACCAGTCAAACTGGTCTGGAGTGATCTCAGCACTGTCTGCAGCAAGAATAAACAATAAAACATAATCAGTGGCACATAACTACTTAGTTTTAAACACATTAATGAGTCATTTGAAGATAATAGACTTCGCTCTTTTAGAAATGTGTTTACATTACAGATAAAAGGAAAATAATGAATCACTTTTAATTCTGAGATGCAAATTTGATGTGTTTTGATGCTTTGCGACAAAAGGTACTTTACTTCCTAGTTTGTTAGATTTCATTTGTTTTTAATGAACAAACCTACCAAGAGGATTGTTGTTCACTGATAACATCTTATTGGGGACCTTTGAGGTCACAAAGCATCTCTGAAAGATTTCTCCTTCCACAGGAATCTAATTAACAGATATACAACAACTAATCTGCTCAGCTCAATAAGTGTGCAAATGGCATTAGGCAAATGCTGGACATTGAAGAACGGTCACTGTGTACATAAACAACTGCTTTTATAGCCTCCTGTGAGAGACAATACTCCACATTTACAATCATCCAAACACCAGCTGATTGAGGATTTTTGCCAAGAAACAGCATTAACTGCTTCTTTGTGTGTCTGTAAAGTCAGTGCAAATTTTAATAGGTGTATACACTTTTTAAAAAGGTGTTACAGACAGTAAACGTTCTTACTCTCAGCAATGGTGGACCAGAGACTCTTAAACCACTCGGTCAGGTTGGCTTTATCCTTCTGCTGCAGCATCAGAGGTTTGAGAGGAGGAGCACAGAGATCTGATGCCGAGAGCATAGCCTGGACTCTGGATGATGGCAAAGCTGAAAGATAAATGCAGACATTAATAATAGGGTTGGTGAGGGGGAGCTTAGCATTCACTCAGTCTGTTCTCACCATTCAGACACTCACACAAGCATAGGTCATATATTCAGATGTTTATCAGTCACATTTAAGTCCACAATGAAGTTAACATTTAAATCATTTGGAGCGGTCTGATGTGATGATGTGAGCTACATATCCATGAATCACAAGATACAAATAGACACATATCACAGTGTTGATTGCTAATATTCAGACCTCACAGAATTCTCAACTGTGGCATATTCATTTGACTGACACACACTCACTTTTCAAGTCCCCTATTGAATCTTCCAGGGTAGTTTGGGGAATGAGGACACTGGTTAGCCAATGATGTTTTTATTTCATGTACTATGGTAGCTAAACTGAAACTCCTGTATTTCCACTGCTCTGTGACATTTATTACCCACGTCAGGACTCATTTTTCCTTTTTCTGTGAGGAAAAAATGGCATTTGCTCCTTGTTGGGAGACTTCGCTGCAGGAGCTGCACAAGTTAAAGAAAATATAACACAGTAGAAATAGAATCATCATTCAGTCACCAAACTGTCATCGAATCATTGACCTTTAACACTTGCATCCCACAAAAACAGCATTTTGGTATTGAAGAGCATCTACACGTAAGTTTTAAAGGTCCTATGTGCAACTTTTAGAACCACTGGATGTCGCTAGAGCACGAGTACCTCAGACAAAATCAATCTGCCACGTCAACAACACATCCTTCCTCCCTTATATCTACACGAGAGCCACAAAAAGTTTACCAAACACAAATATTAGTCCACACTAGCACCATTAAATACACTGAGTGGATGTAACAGGTTGTTGCAGACGGACCAGAGCGGACGTGTGAAAACAGAGACACAGAGCGTGGAGTGGAAATGAGTTTAAAAGGAGATTTCTTTACATAGCAGATAGTTACTTGCTGCTTTATCAATGTTTATAGAATAGAAAAAATAGAATAGAAAAACACTGCATTTATCCCAGGCTTGGGAAATTACTCAAAATTATATTTAAAATTTTGCGTATCACACCTTTACTTCCAGGTCATCAGTCTTGTGAACAACTGCAAACACTAAAAGAGACGGTGAATGAAAGATTGGATGATTGCACAACTCAACACACCTGTATATCTGACCGACTTGAAACCAAGTCCAAAAAGGAACTAGGTTTCAGAATGGTAAATGGTCTGCACTTTTACCCAAAGCGCTTTACAATGTGTTTCTCATTCACCCATTCACACACACATTCATACACCAACAGCGACAGAGCTGCCACGCAAGGTGCTGCCTGCCACTGGGAGCAACTCTAGGTTCAGTTCAGTGTCAAGGACACTTCGACTGTGGAGGAACGGGGATCGAACCACCAACCACAACGCGCTCTACCACCTGAGTCACAGCCGCCCACAACACACATCTTGTTAAGTTTTTATCGATACAACAAAACATCTTTTATTTACTACCAAACTCCTTACAGCTGCTGTGTTTATAAACACTCAATTGAATTGTGAATATTTCTGACTCGTGCTTTTTCAGCGTCAGAAGAAAATCCTGTGCAAATTATTATTAGTTTCCTTACTGGTGCTTTTAATTAATCTGTAGAAGTGCACGAGCAGATAAGATACCTACAATTATTTTGTTTAGACGGAATATGTAAAATCGTGCTTTATCATCTTAAATCTCTATTTATAGGGGTAAAAGGAATGTTGTGATAAAACTTTAACTAGAAAATAAGCAGGGAACCTCAGAAAAAATAGAGATGTTTGTAAATATGAATCAGAACATACTCATGTCGTCATTTTCTTCATACTCTTCCAACTCAATCATGGAGGACGGCCCACTTCTGAGGGGTTTAAACCTGCCAAAAACAGACAAAAATAGTAAAGAACACTTACATACAACAAGAGAAACACAGGTTGAGAGTATTTAGGCTTTTCCTTACATGTTGTCTGGCTCATCATTATTGTGGCTGCTTTGTGTTCTTCTGCCTCCACCAGCATCAATATTAAGCACATCTGCATCAGTGTTTCTGCTCATCGAACCCTCAGTGGCCGAGGTTCCCCCAGCACGATGTGATCTGACATTACGTTTGTTTTTCTGACGTGCACTTCTGTTGCTGACCACAGTCGGAGTCTCTGCTACTGAAGTGAAAATGTCCTTAAATGTTGCCAGAGAGCGTTTGACAGTCTTTGGAGTTGAAAGCGGCATCGCATTCAGAGGAGGCACAGGAGCTCCACCCGGTGGTTTTGGTGAGGCTGCCATGTTGCCGTTTTTGGGAATACCAAGTCCAGGAGATTTGCTCTGTTTAGACTGTTTTTTTCTGTCCTTGCGAGGTTTGGGCTGCTCGGGGTGAAGCTGCTGAGGCTGTGAGGACACGCTCTCCAAGTCTTCGGCCATGTCGTCCACCATCCACCAGCTACCAGGTGGTTTCCTCCTCCGTTTTGATGGCTCTGCTTCCCTGAGTTCCTTTGGCTGTTTTGAAAAAGCAGGGGCTGCTGGTGTGCTGGACAATTTTTTATCAGGGGTGTGATGATATACTCTCTGAAATAACTGACCTCCTGTAAGAAAAGAACACTTACTTCAGATGAGAGGTGCTTGTAATTAACTTCAGTGTTACATTTTTGCGACACTATACTTGTGAAATGTCCTCTTTACGCCACTATCTTTATCTCACAAATATAGTTACTACATAACTTTGATAATATTAGTTTAATGTTAATATCAGTCTTCCCAAACCATCAACGGTTCAGAGCCAGAAACTATAACAACAGAAAGAATTTGATTTTCAATCTTCCAACAGTCCTTGAACTACTCATTTGTGACAAATTGTTTCACCAGAAAACTTAACAATCTAACATCATCATACAACAACAGCCACAGTGGAACCACAGTGGTGTGTTTTTAAACTGTGCTACTGGTACTTTTACTAACATAAAGGATCAGCCTGCTTCCTCCATCAGTGATCTTACCTGAGTTAAGGCTGTGGTCTCTGTGAGAGAAGACCAAAGGGCTGGACGGCTCCTGATCCAGGTCTTGATCAGGAAGCTCCCGCTGCTCTTGTTCTTCAGTCTGCTCTGCCTCAAATACTTCCTCTGTTGTTTTCTTGTCTACATTGTGCCCTTTTGCATTTCTCTTTTTGCTCTGTTTGACTTTCTTCTCTTTAGCTTTCGTTGTATTCGGACTGGACAACAGCGCAGGCTGTTTCAGACTTCTTTTTTTATAAACTCTCTTGCCCTTAGCTGGTGAAGCGACTACTCTGCTGGGCTCTTTATTACTCTGCTTTGTCTTCTTGAGCACAGGTTGCTGGTTCTCTGCTTCTTCTGTTGTCTGAGGGTTATTCAGCCACCACTGGCCAGTCTGCCTTCTTTTCCTTTTCCCGAGAACCTGGCTGTCTTCAGATGAACTCTCTGCAGACACAACGGGCTGTTTGTGTTGTTTAGTCTTTCCATCTGCTTCAGATTTGGCGATTTTTTTGTCTGTGGGACAACAGGAAAACTTCTGTTATACATATATATCTTATATTATATGTTCAGTGAGTCAATTCTAATGAAGGACAGAACAAACAAAAACATAAGAGAAAATTCATCTGATACATGGACTTTTTTTTTTTTTTTTTTTTACAATGTACTTAAATGTTTTTATATGTATGTTTGAAAAGTTACACAGGACATGTTTGTTTTTAACTCCACATAAACCAACAATTGTTTTACGTTCACACTACTACCTATAAAAGTTCTATATACATTTTTTCAGCACTTCCATTGCTACAAACATTAATAATTCCTCAGAATGGGATTAAACAAAGTAATTTGACCTCAAACAGCACAAGACTGCTGGTTTAACCAATGAAAACGTATTAATTCAGTTTTAGTTTTTTCCAAACTGAAGCTTGCCCGCTATGAGACAGAGCTATCCACAGATATTATAGCCAGCAGTCATGCCAGTGTTCGCTACAAGTCTGAAGGCACAGACTGAAAGTCTACAAGAAAAGGCTGAACAGCCTTCAACAATTGGTTTGACTTCTAAAATCTTCACAGGCAAGAGAAAATATTCAATACTTTTGTAAATAAAACATTTTAGAAACCTTCTAAGGCCTTTTTGAAGAAAAAGAAGTCAATGCCCTTAAAAACTTTTCAGACCATCAAACACTGGGTTTTTTCCAGTGATAGTGAAATTGTTGTTTGCTTTGGAAGCCAGTAGGAAAAGTAACTTTGTGAAGGTTGAAGAAGAGCTGTAGAAGAATAAGTCAAGGACGAAAAAAGAAAAACAGCAAAAAAAAACTGGCTATACTTCATGGAAAAACATTTTTGAATGGATATTTTTGATTTCTGCACTGTGTTCTGTGTTTGGGTTCCGCTGAAGCTACAACAAAAAACCTTTCATCAAATATTCACACGCTAAACGTAAATGGGGTTGAGGAACTTCTAGCTTCAAGCTTTATAGCAATTGCTCACAAATATTGATGTTAAATGGCAACACTTGGGGGCTACAAAAGTAAAATGTATATAGACATTTACAAAACATTAACAGTAAATAACCTATGACAATAACTTGTAGAACGGTTCAATGGCAACACACAGGAAAAGGTTTTAAAGGAGGAAGACCTTACCTAAAGGAGAACCCAGGTCTTCTGTCTCTGCAGGCTCTGTCCTGTTCTGTTCCTGACTTTGTTCCTCAACAACATCAACCTGTGCCATCTCCTTTGAGTCATCAGATCCCTGCAGCTCTTCTCTGGTCCCCTTTAATGACTTAGCCCTGCCTGTCTTGGTATTTTGTTTACCCTCGTTTGAAGACTTTGTTTTCTTCATTTTGGAAGCCTTTTGTTTAGCTTTCCCTTTCTGAGAAGGTTTTTCTTTTTCGATTTCCCCGCTGCCTCTGTCTTCAGGTCGATCCACTGCCTTGTCATTCTCTTTCAAAGGAACCTTCTTGAGCTGTTGTTTCTTTTTGTTTGGTTCCTCTTGTTCCATCAAGTCAGCGGGAAGATCCTGAGGACTGGCCAATTCACCGTTATCATTTCCAGGCTCAGGCTCTTCATTGTTCTTCTCTTTCCCTATCTTCTTCTTCTTCTTTCTATGATTAACAGTCTGACTTCCCAGTTTGTCATTTGCCTTTTCCAGTTCCTGTGGTTGTTGCAATGTCTCTGGTGGGCTGTCCTTCTTCCCCTTGTCTGTTGAGCTGTCTTTCTCTGTGCTGGAGGTCCTGCTGAGCCCGTGTGTCTTACTGGTGGCATTTTTACGTGGGATAGTAACCCAAAGAGGTGTCTCGTCATCCATAATCAAGAAATCATCCTCTGGCTCAGGAGGAGGAGTGGGTGCTTTAACTGGGGACTTCCTGGAACTTAAAACAAACAAACAAACAATAAAAGGTTATTCCTTGTTTAATGAAGAAGGACACCACAATTAATACTGAGTCTTTGTGAACATGTTTAAGTTGTAGTCACTTAGACATGGTGACAGCTTCATAATATTAAGAAGCACTCTTGTTTCAACTCACCATGTAGGTTTTGATTGTCCAGCATCTTTGACCTTCTGCAGAAAAGCAGTCATGTCTTTGCCCACGCGTGTGGAAACATCCATGACTGACTGCTTGTGAACAGTTTCTGCTGTTTTTTCAAGAGCTGCGACTTCAGACTCCGGTCCCACTGCCACAACAGGTGGCTCCGTGTTTTCTTGCCTGCTAATAACCATAAAGGAAAAGACACAACTGAAACACAACTGATAAAAACAGAATGTAGTTCAGTAGCTGCACTAAAAATGACACAACATGCTGCTGCAGTAAAGGCTGCAACACTTTTCTAACTTGTGATGTGGATGGAGCACAGCCTGTAAGATGGATCCAAATAAATGTGATATTGGCTTATCACTGATGCAGTATGTTGGAAATGCTTCATAAGCTTAGTGTTTAATCAAAGCAGGGTGTAGCTTTGATTATTATTATCACATACTAATATAAACTAGCAGTTTGTTTAACCTATAGTTACATATGACAATGCCATTTACTGCAATCATGTAAACTCCTACTGCTATTGCATACTATAGCATGACTGTATAAAACATAAGAATTACCACAAAGACACATATTAAGTGCAGTGTTTTACAGTTAAAACATTTTTTGTGCCATTTATTTGAGGACTCATGACACTGTTTCTAAATGAACTTGAACCTAGTTTGGTCCTTCTGGACTGAAATCAAACTGAAGCCCAAAACTGAGACAAATTATCTGTCTACTGAAGCTCAGCACAGTTTCTGCTTGCTGCACTTTGCATGACGTGAACTGACAAAAGAAAACTATTTTTTAAAAGCTTCCTCACTTCTCTAAAGTCCCTGAAATGTCTGCACATTATTCAATATTTTTACTGTCAAACTGAATGTTTATTAATTTAAATAAGTTAATTGTTGTGATATTGTACCACACTATCACAACTCTTCGATGAGATTGAGGAGATTTTGTGTAAAACTAATACCAGCAACCGCAAAATTATCAGTTTGTTTTATTTCTGCCAGATATTAACACTGTCAGTGTCCACTATGTTTAGGGCACTAAAGTTAAAGTGAAAGCAAAAAACTGGTGAAACTAAATATCAAAAACATCATACCTCTGCAATTTTCTTTTGCCTTTCAAAACAGGTGTTTGAGGTTTCGTAGGTGTTTTTTCTTTGGCTACGGAGCGTTCTTTGCTGCATATGAAAGTAAATATGCATATGCACATTGAGTAAACTAAAGAAAATGTAAATGTTGACCACAGCCACCAGATGGTTCAAACATTAGCAAACCAAATACAGCCTGTACACTGCAATGGTCTCATACTGCCCTACACAGAGTATGAGCATCACTGGCTCTGGAAAACAAACACAACACAACGTAGAGCATTTAAAAAAATCCTTACCATAATGTTTCTGCCTTCTTTTGACTAGATGTCTTGGTGAAAGCAACCTTGCTTGGAGGAGACTCCAAGTCATTGTAATCACTCCTATGGGAAATTGATGAAACATTTAGAAATACACAATACTCCCCAGAGACAAAAGCAAGCATGTGCACAATTAATTTCCCACATTAAATTTTTTACAATAAAAACAAATGCACATACTCCTCTGTGGCATTGCCCTCGGGTTTCTGGGTGGGTAGAGGATCTGGCTCAGGATCCTCTTTTTTTCCCTCATCATCACAGGGAAAGAGAATTGCAGACACAACTTCTTCTTTTTCATCATCCTGCTTTTCTTCTACACCTTTGACACAGACGTTCTGCTCAATAGGGCTCGATGTCTTTACTGGCCCATGGGCTTTAAATGGGATGTCACAATCTGCAACAAAGAAAACAATTACACTTGAACGAGAGAAACATTTCCACACAACATCAAAAAGAACAAGAGGATGAACTTGCAACATCTCTTATTCCTGAAAAAACAAATATCTCCTAAAATACAGGCTTTAGTCTCTTACCACTGTCCAGTTGAGGACTGGGTGATCTTGTTGCAGGATGCACGACTTCTTCAGGGCCCTAAAGAGTTTTAAAACATGCATTTACTAACTCAAACACATCTAAAGGCAAGCCAAAGAATGAACTTGTCATTTTTATAGACAAGCAAATAACTAGAAAATGGAAGACCATCGCCTGCAACAAACACAATGTTTCTAACACGGGAGGACTGGACAGTTTCTGACGATCTATTTTGTAATATCAGCAAAAGTCCCTGTACTGATCGACTGTGCATTACCATTTGGTGTTCTACAACTTGTTCCTCTGAGCGTTCCTTCTGCTGGACTGGAGAAGCCTCTGTGTCATTCTCATTCGTCTCAGTATCAAAAGTCTGGAGCAGAGGGGATGGCGGAAGAAGATCATCATGTGAGGATGAATCTGAAAAAGAACAGTTAAGCACAAGTTGACATAACGCAAATGTGAACCGACTACACTAAATCAAAGGAAGTGAATAACACTCACCCATGTCATCAAACATCTTGTCCACATCCGCCAATGACAGTGGTGCTGGCCAGTCCTTGTATTGACTGAAACACAAAGGTGAGTTTAAAATGACTGCTGCAGCATTTCACAATTGCAACACCATGTTGAGATATCTAATAACAATGAATCAGAATTAAATATGAAATATCTTAACCAATGCTGGAGAAAGTTACTTACAAAACAATATATAACTTATTTAAGACAACTTTTTTTTACAATCAGTGGTATTACAAGCAGAGTGAAGCTCATCTAGGCATAAAATTAGACTCTTACCTACAACATTATTTAAAACTAAAACATAATGAAACAGTTATTTCATTAAGGTATAAAATATAAAGCAACTGCAGAAATCCCAAATTTCACTCTCTAGTTCACAATTCTGACTCACAAAAAGTTGGCGATAATCAGGAGCACATGAGAACTATAAATAATATAAAGTAAAGCTGCAAAACATTCCATTTAAAGATTTTCGAACATACTTTTCCTTGTTTGTTAGGTAGCAGAGCTTCCTCTTGGGTCTCCTCTGTGAACAAACAACAGAAAATAGGAACTGAGATTTAAAATGCAGCGACTGTAATTTAGTCATTTTGTAAATTAGGAACAATAAAGTTAAACAGCTTACACGACTGAAATACCAAACTTCATTTCCAGGTTATATCAAGTATTCAAGCTTAAAAACTGATTAAGTCAGCGTTCCTTCTTGTTCATTAGGTAGACAAAAAAAATCCTTTAATATCATGTATTACCATCTGATAGCATCAGAAAATACAGTCTCTAAAATAACCATGAAGCTGCATCAGCACTTCTTAAAAAGAAATAAAATAAAAAATCAACAATCATAGCATTCGCTGATGTCGCATTTATTGCAGTACGGTTGTAATTGGACCATATTACAGTCGTTTAAAATGAGTCACTGTGTGCAATAAACAAACATTTGTAGTAGTGGGTCCAGCCCCCTTCTTCAGATTTGGTCAACGTGTTGTCCAGTTAATGTATCAACAAAAATGATATAAATAATAGTATTATTTTAAACCTTTTCCCCAATTTCCGGCTGGGTTTTCGATCAAAACAAAGATGGCAGTCTTCAGTTACGTGAATAAAAAACTGAGACGCAACTTAAGAAACTTGACAATAGTCTTCATCGTACAGCGGGCTAAATATTTTGTCTTCTTGGTGGTTACAGAAGTCTTTAAGGATTTTGAAAACCCACTAAGAACAACTTAAAGTGTTTTAAAAACGACTCTCTGGGTTGCAAACATCAATAAAACTTCTATTATCTAGTAGAAATCCCAATAGCTATCTCTGTTACTTCATGTTAACAACAGTAGAGGTCGAAAGTTATGCTAGGCTAACGTCCAATGTTTGTTTAGCTCTCCTTTGTCAGAAGCACCACTGGACAAAACACAACACGGAAGAGGACGTTTACTTACCAATGTCGGGTATTTCGTCTCCATTTGTATTAACTGGTTGCCTTTCAACAAGAAGACGGCTATTTCCGTCAACGACAGCTGAGGTAACAGTTAGCTAACGTTAGCACTCATTTCGTTTTCGATGACTGCTTTCCCGGTTTCCAACCGAATGCATGTATGTGAACCCGCTTTGGAACAAATATTTCAGAATAAGCATATATCGATGTAAAAAAGTGGTGAACAAGCTAATTCCTTCAACTGTAAACCAACGTTAGCGTTAGCAAAAACAATAGCGCTGTTGACGATTTGTAAATGACCCGCGCATTCCGGACGGAAGGTAAATTGAGTTCCTGTGCATTGACTTACAGGCACAAACACTTCTAAACAGGCAGACGCTAACACACAATCGAGTCTAATGTAATATAAACGTAAGTGTAATAAAAAGCAACTGCAACTGTCTGACTGGTTGAGCTTGATGAACGTAAATAAAGTTATTGCTTGTGGCCGACGTGATGCCTGACAGATCGAGACCAGGGATTTAAACAACCGCCAACGGCAGCTTCTTCTTCTACGTTTCTAATTTCCGACAGAGTAGACGTGAAATTGGCGCTTGCTTTGTCGCCCCCTACAGTTTTATAATGTCAACCTCATGTAAAAGAGAAAAAAAAGAGTTGATATACAAAATGCTGATATAAGCAGGGTTCTTACACATGCTTGAAAATATATACTAACATAACATCTTTTTAAAAATCACTAATTTTGCTTCATTTTTAAATTATTACATATTTGATTTAAATTACTTTCTTCATCTGAAATCTACAGCAACTTAGCAAACAATTTGGAAAAGGTCTAAATCCAGAGAACATATCTTATATTGCAGATGATGTTTGTATGTTCATCTTCCATGTTAATATCAAAAAGCCCACATTGCTAAACTTCTACAACAGGTGATATGATGTAAGATGTGCACTTTATTTCAAAATATATACATATATAACAAGATGACACAAATACAGTTCGTTTTAGACTGTAAGTTAAAAACAAAACAAACAAACTCTAGCAAGTAATTAAAACATTCGGTCAGTTGCATCTTGTAACTGATTGGAGTATTCATGCCTTTTTGTGCTGTTATATGTAATGGTCTTCTTATCTGAGCCTAACGTGCGTTTTAGTACTCGCTTTCTAAGAAAACGGCCATAAAAGGTTCATAGATCAGTCAGTCAAAGTTGAGAAAATGATTGTTGATAAAATCAGTGAAAATTATGCCATTTAAGTGTGTGAGCATTGTCAACATTTACAAAATAAAACAGCTGCTTTCATAACTATCCACAGAACACTGGACATTTTTTCTTGACATTTTCTGTGATGAACTTGTGTTATGTTATGAAAATGCTTAGCGAAATATGTTTTTCTGCTTCTCAGCAATCTCCTTGGGCTCCATGGCTTCAGGACTGACATCTTCGTAGAGCGGCTGTTTGACGTGTCTCCAAACCACCAAAATAAGCCGGATGACAAAGAGCACAGAGCTTAAAGTCAGCAGCGCAGCTAGGAGAAGAAACTCAAGTTAGTACAGCTTTTAGTGGTCACCAAAATTAAGACTGCATGTCGTCAGTTGTAGTCTAGTACAGGAGTCAGTTTGGGCTTAATTAACTCCTCATGCTATGGGGGTAAAGGCAATATTTTACTTAATTATTCAATTTTGTTGATTTGATTAATATGGGGGATTCTCATATCTTTATCGAATATAATTTAAGTAAAGTCCTCATCTGTCTCATCTTACCGATGAAGATTCCAATGCGACCGGGTGACTGAGCATCAAAATTTTTGTCCAGGTTTCCAGTCAGCGCCCAGATCACAACAGGGTAGACTACGAGGATGTGCCGCACATGCTTGTCAAGGACAAAGTTTTCCAAAGCAAACCTATGAGACACCAAACACACTGCTTCATAATCTCACCGACCAGTTTTACATATTGCATATTGGGTTTTTTCAATTAGGTTCACTCACCACACAAGCAACAAAGCAGATAAAACAGAGTATGAGACGGTAGCAGCATCTGCTGGGAGCATCTTTACATTATAAGTAAGTACAATGGTCAGGTTGATAAGTGTTGCGATGGTCGTCCATGTGGTGTAGATCATCACACCATTCTGAACCTGCAAATGGAACATTAAAGAGTATATTTAAACCCCACTATACAAACAATGCATGACCACAATAGGCTCATATAACTTGACACACACAAGATGAAAACCTTAGCATATAGAGTTTTTACTGTACAAATGCCATACTAACCAAAATACGAATACACCACAGTTCTGCGTTGTGGTACTTTTTGAGCCACGGTCCATAAACATGAAGTCCATGGCAGATGAAGAACACCATGGAGTAGTTTGTGCAGATGACCAGGATGAGAAAAACCAGCGCAGGAATCATCTGTCTTCATAAGGCACAAAAACAGAAGAAAAACACAAATTTCAATTAATTTCTTTAACTAGTTGTTTTTATATCTCTTTACATTAGTTTGATGTAAACATTTGGAGGCACAAAATAAAATTTAAATAAACAAATCATCGCAGATTCCCTTTAAAAGCTTCCATTAGAAGACTCTTACCCTCTGTCCCAAACAAGCAGCCAACCAATGTTGAAACACAGATTGACACACCAGCTAATGAAGAATCCATAAGGCAACACCGCAGGGCTGCAGTAAACGTATCCATATCCGTTCCTACATGACAACAGAGCAAAAGAGTTGATCAGTCCGAATGTGGGAAAATTGTTTAAATTACTTTTGATGTGATACTTTGCATTTCCTGCATGTAGTGAAATACACAATAGCTTAAATAGCTAAAGCCTACAAATTCTATCTCCACATATCATTGTTTAAGAGGAAAACTAATTCAGATATTAACTTATTTATGTCCGCCCCTTTCAATGTTTTATTTTTTATCAAGAAAATATAAAGAAATTGGTCCCAACTTTCTGCAAAGGCCCGTGACAATGTAGATGATCATCGACGTCAGCCAGACGTAGATGACGCTCCAGATGTTAAAGGTCCATCCTGAAGGCGTGAGCTGGGTGTCGAACACAGCAGACACGTTGGCTGTAGTGGTAGAATATGGACCTACAGGGAGAAAAAATGTAAATATTGAGTCAGTATATCAGTGATATGTTTGACTTTTCAGTATTCCTGCAGTGTTCATTCACTATGTTTCTCAACATCCTCTACAAGACAAACTAAAGAAACTTAAACTCCACACAGAGAAGATTAATAAAGCTCCAACTTACCAATTCCAACTACAGACAGCCCGTTGAACACCAAACTTATTGCAAAGCCGACTACAGATAAGAGTATTGCAGCCAGACGCCCTGAATTGTGTTTTCCCATCGTGTGTGATGAATGATAGCAATTCTATAAAAGGAAAAGCATTGGGTTTTCTTTAGGTTAAACACATGCACTTAAGCACCAGAGAACATTTATGTTGCTAGAGAAGAGAAAAAGTACAGTTATACAAGACGGACAGAACAGATTTGCTGATTCCTTGTTTAAAGAAATGTGCTGAAGTGTCCTTTAGGAGTGATGAGCTGTATTTGAACCCACCCTCTGACCCTCAAGAGCAGGATAAGTGATAATAATCAGTCACCTTGTGTAACAACTCACAAAGAAACCATTAAAACAGTGATCAGTCATCTTTTTAAATAAATCACTGGCTTTCTTATAATCTGTTTTAACCTTTAAAAAAAAAAAACAAATCAGTCAATCCTAGAAAAGACTGAAAAGTTTCAAAACTACTTTTCTAACATCACATATAACACCCACAAGCCGCTACTGTATATTGAGTTTAGTCAATAAAACATTGGCAGCATAACAAAACAGCATCCACAAGATTCGATTAAATCAAACAAGACGTACCTTGTTTTTTCCCTCCGTATGTGAGGCAGAGTGAAGCAAAGGAGTAGCTGTGCTGAGGACGGGGGTCTGGGGCCCTGTTATATAGAATAACTAGTTGTGCAACAGGAATGTTTTACGACCATTCAAAGCATCACGTGCGTCTCTTATCTTGTATGCATTTTCTACCACAGTACAGTCGATCATAAAACGCTGGCAGACACGTCTCCCCATATGTTTAGTAATTAGAAAACGCACATATAGACAGAGCTTCATTATGTTATATCCCTGTATAAACATATAGCTTCATTATATTACATAAGCTTGATAATTTATTACCTTGTTGCTGATTAAGTGACTTATTATTGCTTCAGATATGACAAATTTAGTCATTTGAATCTGCCTAACAAAAAACAAATATCTATACAAAAGCATATACGAAATATAAACTACACGTGTTATTGTGAGGTATTTTCTGAACTGACCAGTCTTTGAAGAAAAAAAAAAGAGCAGTCACTGATCTTCAGTTCACTTGTACGTTTATTGTAAACCACACATTAGTTATTCTTGAGGTCAGCTGAGGCAATAGAGTCGTATATTTTCATATTCTCCATCACACACATCCCAGAATCTCTCTTATCAGCCTGTGTGGGCTGCATCTGACTCTCTCTTCTTGTGAAACCCTATGTTTGTTGTGAGGTTTGGGGGTTTTTTTTGGAGTCATGTAAATGATTATGCGTTTGATCATAATTCTCCCACAATGTGTAATTGATGATATACTGCTATCAGTGGGTGGAGGCATCTGAGGTCTTTGAATCAGAGTTTACTGCTCATTCTCTGGTCTTGACTTCGTATAACTTTGGAGGAAAGGCCTGAGCCGAACCCTTACAGCCAAACCACAAAAAGTAATCTTATCCATAAAACTGCAAAGATTTTTATTGACTAAAAAGATGACGATATATAAAGTATGTCACATTTATGCAAATATTTTATTATATCTTTTCATTAGACAACACTGAAGAAATGACGCTTTGCTACGATGTGGGGTAGTCAGTGTACAGCTTGTATGACAGTGCAAATTTACTGTCCCCTCAAAATAACTCAATACACAGCCATTAATGTCTAAACCGCTGGCAACAACAGTGAATACACCCCAAAGTGAAAATGTCCAAATTGGGCCCAATTTGCCATTTTCCCTCCCTGGTGTCATGTGACTCGTCAGACACAATAACACATTAGTTGATTCATGGTATGTCACAGCCACATACAGTTTTATTTACACGGACTGAAGCTCATCATTTTGAGGAGGTCAGTGAAGGATAGCTCATTTAGCCAAGAATGGCTGATCACATTAGGAGCAGAATGTAATCATTCAAATTAGCAAAGCAGAGAGGAAGAAGAAGGACGAGACTGGAAACACAGAAAGTCATTATTATACGGAGAGGAGAGGGGAAGCACATAAAACACGCCATTACTGCAAAAGAGTCAGCTATTTACAAGAACAGTTATGCAGAAAAATAGAGCAAGTAGACATGCAGAAGTAGTAACACAATGTGGCCTGATTATATTACAACCTGTGTGTTTGAATTACATTTCCCTTCTGCTGAAGGTTAAATTTAATCATAGAAGAGCGGTCAGTCCCATCATCCATCCTCATCACTATTCCTTATATTGTCATTACATCAGTGTTCTGTTTGTTATCTCTGAAATCATTCCACGAAAGCAAACAACTAAGTAACACCAGTCTTTATTTTAACAGTTTACATTCTCATTTTTATCAAACACAAAAGTCAAAATGTATAAACACAAACACACAAGTGACATGACATAAATTTCCAACTTACACCTACATGTGGCAACTTTCTAAGTCCATTATCTTCAATAGCATCTTAAATATACAAAGCGTTTAGAGGTGCATATCATACAAAAAGCACATGACCTTGTTAGTCAAAGTTTTATTAGAAACATATTCTAATGATCACCATGCTTATTTAAATACCGTTTTCTGCCTCTCAGCGATCTCCAATGGAGACGTTGCATCCGGGTTTACGCCTCTGTAAAACGGACTTTTGATTTGCCTCCAGACGACCAAGAGAATCCGAGCAGCAAACAAGACACATGCTACAGCCAGCAGTGCAGCTGTACGGGAAAGAAAGGATCAGAAGGAAGCATGTGTGAGATAAATCACAGTATTTATCTACATATGCAGCTGATGCAGTATTACAATTGAGACTTATGAAGATATTCCTTCCTCACCAATGAAGATGTTGTTGCGAGTAGGAGCTGCAGCCCTGTAGTTCTTTGTGTACACCCCGGTCAGAGCCCAAATCACAACAGGGTAAATGGAGAGAATGAACCTCACGTATTTGTCGATGAGGAAGTTTTCCACGACGAACCTGTGAGAGATCCGACACATTGTCTCCAGATGTGTCCTTTATTTAATTTATTAAAGTTGCTATAATTGGTCCACTCGTTTGCACCTACCACACGATCAACAGTACAGTCAGGACAGACAGCGAGAGGGTGGCGGCGTCCGGGGGTGACATGTTTCCATCATAACTCACAGTGACAGCCAGGTTAATTAGGGTCGCAATGGTGGTCCATGTTGCATATATGGCAACGCCGTTCTGAATCTGCAACAGAAAACACTCAGACATGTATGCAGCATGTCTTTCAAAAGAGTGTAGAACAGTGCTGGGAGGTAGCAGGGTTTGTAATTCAGCTGCTTTACTGACCAACACGCGGTGAAGCCACAGATCTACTTTGTGGTACTTGTTGAGCCAGGCTCCATAGTTGTAGAGACCATAGCAGGAGAAGAAGATCACCCCGTAGTTAGTCAAGGCAACCAGGATGAGGAAAATCAGTGAAGCAGATACAAACCTTTGATAGAGATGAAAAACAGAATACATTATTAGAAAACACAGAAGTAAATTTTTTGACACAACTTAACTACTCACTAATGTTTTAGTTATTCTACTGCTTTCCTCTTTATGTCATGAAGTCAAGGTCACATACAGCCTAAAATCACACACAACAAATCTGTCATCACAATCTGTATCACATCTATCTGCAAGCACTTGGTTCAAATATAATAAAAATATAGCAAAATACTTCTAAAGAAGAGATCCCCTCACAATAAATGTGATGAGTACTTAAGACAGAGAACCACAGTAAAATACCAGCATAAAAAAATACAAATGTGTGTAAATGTATTTTAAATAAATATCCTTCTAATATTCACTTTGTTACTCAACTTGTCCTTTATGCTTTCATTTATTCTCAATAAAGATAATCTGAATTTTGTGGTGGTCTGCATTTAGAGTTTTACATTCCCTCCTATATTATATATACATGCAAATCTGGTTGTCTAGATACTCAGAATCCCTCTAACACTGATCAACATGTCAGCCATGTGCTGGGCTAAATGCAGTCCTCATTTCTTTACTTCCTTTAACCCAATAAAATGATCCAAAACTGCATTTGTTTCAATAAAGCTGTGCTGCCAATACACTTGTATGCCAAATGCTTGCCTCTAACAACTAACTGAACGTGGTTTCTCAAAACTATGTCAGAAAATCGTCATCTGAGTTCAGTTTAAAATCATGTTGTACATAAAGAAAAGTTCCCATCTCACTTTCTGTCCCACAGGAAAAGCCATCCAATATTGAGGATCAGATTAAGGCACCAAAGCACAAAAAATCCATGTGGCAGAACGGCCGGGCTGCAGTAGACGTAACCGTACATGTTTCTATAGGGGAAAAAAAATCACACAGAGATAAATGTACACATAAACAAACCAAATCTACTTTATTTCTCAACCTAGCTGTGCATTTTTACTGGTTATTTGCTTGTTTTTAAAGAAAAAATAACAATTTGTTCCAGTTCTTACTTCCTGAAGAGGCCTGAGAGGATGTACACCAACAGGAGGGCCAGGAAGGTGTAAATGATGGACCAGATGATGAAAGTCCATCCTGATGGTGTGATCTCAGTCAAGAACTCATCTGAAACATTCCCGGTGCTCCGCAAAAACGGCTCTGTGGGCACAAAATCAACAATTACAAAGCTTAACAGACGCACTGTAGACTCAGAAATATTGTATTTCCAGACACGGTGTAAAGTTTAAAGGATGCAGAATTGTTCTTAGAGTCTTTGATTGAACACTTAATTGTAACATTACAAAATAATGCAGCTTGGTAGTCAGACTTACGTTTTCCTGCCGCTGCCAGAGCGCTGAACACCATCGTGATGATGAAGACAATCAGTGACAGCACGATGGCAATCGCCAGGCTGATGTTGTGTCTCGCCATTGTTGATGAGCCAACTGATCTGAAAGTGTTAGAAATCAGCACACATTACAATATAAGAAAACTAACAAGTTCTACACCACACAATGTTGATAATTTAGCCTTAAAAACAAAATGCATAAATAAAGCCAACATCAGCAGGGATAGGGAAGCTTCAGACGTACCATTTATTGTGCCTTCTGGAGTGAATGCAGTGAACACAAAGAATGCTGTCTGGGAGCGGCTTTCTGTCTTTTAAAGGGAGCTGCTTGTGTAATTGTTGGCTTTTATGAGACACGTGCACGTGTACATGTTTGTTGCTTATGTCATCAAAGCTTGGAGACTCTCTGCATGCATTGTTTGTTTTAAAATGACAGTCTTAACGTAAAGAAGTTCTGTCACCTAAGCTGACTTTGTTTTGTCACTGGGCTTCATACTGAAGCCGGACTTTGTCCCGGTGGATGTGTTCGGTAACAGGTCACACTCAGGTGGGAGCAGCAGCACAACCTCAAGGTTATGAAATGTTGACTTGTTGCCAGCAGAAGAAAATGTTTTGTTGTTAGTCGACTTCTGTGAGTGAGTAAAAAGACAATCACGTGCTTGTTACTGGATGATATAATAATTGATTGGATTCAAGTTCTATAAGCTCAGAGTGAATGAAAACCATGAGGTCATAGATGTTTTATAAGACAATGGCCCCACTGGGCACAAATATGTGGAGGGACTCACACCCTTTCTACACCAGAGCAAGATTCACCATGAAGGAGAAGCAAAACAACGACGGATACACTGTTTTAAGTCGTATTTTAGTCATTTTGTGTTGCTTTATTATAGCCACAATGAGACTTTGTGATCATTTAAAGTCTTTTTTTGTTGTGTTTGTGGTAATGTTGCATTTCTTTAGTCATTTTAGTGTCTTTTGACACTTTCTGTCTATTTGTATTTGTTTTGTATCTTTTTTTAAGTTGGTTTATTCACTTTAAACAAGAAATTAAACTGTTTCATGTGTTTTCAGCTGGATATGAGACACCTCCATCAGTTTCTGTTACTGTCTTTAATTCTATCTTTTCTTTGTCCCATTTATTTCAGCTTCATCTCTAGTCAGTATTTCACTGCATAATCCACTGGACTCATCTGTAGTTGGTCTATTTTACACAATACATTTGCTGAACATCTACAGAATGAAAATAGTTCTTCCTATTTTTAAGCCATTTTAGTGTTTTATGTGAAAAACAAATCTTTCAGTGTGGTTGGAATATTTTAGGCTGTTTCCAATCAGCTCTACATAAAACACTACGATGGCTGTGTTCCCTCTTAATTCAACATTCATTTTACATATATTTTTCAACAAGTTGATATGAAAAACATGACAGGGGGCTTTTAGATATGGAGAAAGCAGAAGATGAGAAGCTTTTGCCGATTAACCAGCCTCATATGTTGAACCTTTCAATGTAATGGACCACTTTTGTTCTTACTGAAAGAAAGGATCTGAACATTTCTTCCACTGCATCTCACGCTCATTTTGTAATTTTATTTTGGCTTGTTTAGTACTTTTGTTCTCTTTTACTTTGGTTTTATGTTATGCTATATGTGATCTTTGCTTTCTTCACCTCTCTCTGCACTTTTCCTGCACAGTGCTAATCCAGCTACTGTAATCTGCAGAAGTGAACATGTGCAGGATTATTGAGATACAACTGAGATGTTATTTAAACCCAAATAAAATATTCAGTGGCAAATAATATTTAAAATATTATCATTGCTTATATTTCATAAGGTTGACAGAGCACAGACTTTTGTGCTCAAATGAAGAACTCTTTTAAAAAATAATAATATTAATAATGCCAAAGAATGGGTAGCAGCTGCAGTTCAGGATTTCAAATAGGAAACCTATGATGACCACAATATGACAAAAAAAATCGCCTCCTCCTTGGGTAATTGCAACATTAAGGTACATAATACCTACTAAAACAGCAGTTGTGATATAAAACCTGTATAATCATTCTCTCTGTAAAAGGTTCAGTATTTATATATTCACTTCGGTAGCAGCAGTTTATAACCTGATCAAAGCAGGACTAGAGATTACACTTTTATGAACACTGTGAGTCACAAAATGTCAATATGCCCGCTGCGTATTACCTCCCTTACGTATCATTTATAGCTTGTAATATATGCTCATCTGTTAAAAAAAAAAAAAAAAAAAAAAAAAAAAAAAAAAAAAAAGTTAAAATCTGGTAGCAAGGGTGTAAGAAAAATAAATTTTTAAAAACCTGTGGAAAAGTTAAAACTAATGGCAAATATATGTAAAGTAGATAAAAAGGTGAAAACAGTGTAATTCTATAGTCACATGCTGCAAATTAACAAATTACTAATTTTAAAAAAACACACTGCATTTTGAAAATGGGCTGTTTATTTATTCTTTTACTGTTGATGTGTAAATTTAGATATTTTTTCCCTGTGATTTTACTAAATATTATGTGTAGTTTAACAAACATGGAAAAATATGTAGAACAGTTACTTTTTTTCTTGCAGATTCCAACACTGTAAAAATAGTGTGATTTTACGGTCAAACATTACAAAAGAACAAACTGCTATTATGTATAGATTTTTAATGTGGACATTATTTACAGATCTTGTCTGTTTTTTTAGGGTTAAGATGTGGACTAATGCATTTTTGTGTATGATTTTATTATTATCTGTAATTTAACAAATCAGTAACATAACAGTTAATTGTTTGAAAATTTAAAAATTGCTGAAACATTCATTTGGAACTGTGTCTGTTTCACTCCACTACATGTTAGAGAAAAAATATATTAAGATGACTGCACAAAATAGCAATATTAGTCTCTGCGGTGTATCTCAGTGTTTGGCAAGAGAAAAATGTCAATGATCTTTTTTTTTGCTTCCAACAAATCCTAACCCTGAAAATGACACAGTTTCCCCTCATTTAATCTTTAACCTCAACAAAAAAACACCATTAACTCTTTCCATATTTATGTTTATTCCTTTAGGCTACACGAAAAGCCACTTTAAAAAAAACACATGTGGAACATTGTTAAACTTTTTTTGTTGATGTTGTTTTAAACAGGATGTTCATAAAAACCTGCAGCAGAATGATGCTCAAATCGAGTAAATAGAAACAGCTCTGGAACTGTAACAGTCTCTGTAAACAAGAACATGTCCAAAACATTTCTCATTGGTAATTATGTACAGTTTTTTTTTCTTTTAAAAGCTTCCTGTCCATCATGAGTTACCAGAACTTGGACACTGGCAGCATCCTCGCAGCCTCCTGCCGCTGCACCTGCGGACAGTACCGGCGTGTGTGAGCCTGGTCCCCGGTGGCTTTGCAGATGGGGCAGGTGTACTTCCGGAGGATAGGACAGGTGACCCTCCCATCGTCCGATCTGAGCCTGTGTGACCGGTACACCCTTGCAGACTCCCCGTTCTGCTTGCAGAAGCGGCAGTCCGCTGCGGAGGTCAGGCTGGTGTCCGACAGGCTGCTGATGGAGCTGGTCTCCGTGGAGTTCCTGCCCCTCTTGGCCCGAGGCGAGTTCTGGATCCACGATGCCGCAGCCTCCTTCTTCTTCGGCGCCTCGGTTTCCCCGCTGGGGTCCGCCTCTCTCCCTCTCAGCCCCTCCAGCAGCCTGGACAGGTTCATGTAGTCGTGCCACATGTCAAAACAGTCCCGGTCAGTCAGGAGCGAGCTCTGCGCATCCATCCTTCTGTGCGTTTTTCTTGTTTTTGTTTTTGACTTTGTGTTGGAGCTTCTTATATTTATACATGTCAGGAAAATGGCTGTAAAGTGCAACAATGTTTGGATCCAATGGGCAATATACAGATCACTGGCAGGTGTTTGGATAAAAAAAGAAGTTTGTAGTGTGGCCTTTCAGCCCACAGTGTGACATTTGGAGGACCCAGCTGGACAAATTTTAGACCTCTGACCTTATGGAAAACCCTCCTGCTCCAGATGTGCAGATATTTAAAAATTATGACAGCATTTAGAACTCACATCAGTCAACACATGCACAACGTTGCATTGCACTGCATTTTGAATATGAAGATAAACAGATATTCCTTAGACACTAGTGATGGATGGATCAACATGTATGCAATATTATCTGAAAACTACTGAAGCAACTCTTGAGTTATGGCATAAAACACAATAACACACACACACACACACACACAAAATGGGCAGAGGGGTGACATGTATTGCAAACAGGGCTTGTATTTTGCTTCTGAATTTTGCAGATGTGCACCAGCCTTTCTTTAGCTGCTAAGGGTCAGACAGAGGTCATGCATTTGATTCTGATTGTCACCACTACTCAGATGTTAAAAAAGTGACCTGATGCCCTAATGCATACACAAACGCACACACACATACATGCACACACACACACACACAGAGAGACACTTGTTATCATTGTTCTGAATGTCTAACCGAATCCATTGATTCTTTGATTTTAAGATCACAGAATTTGCTCCTGTGACAAAAAACAAAGATAAATTGAATGTAAAATAATACAGATTTTTTTTTTGGTCTATTATAACCTAAATAATGAAATGCACAACAGGTATATAAAGTAAAGTTTTCCCTGTTGCCCTAATGTTTTTAAGCTGTTTTGTAGATTTGTTTATTTGTTATTTCCAAGAAAAAGTCTAGTATTGGGTTTGATGTGTTATTATGACAGAGTAATTACACAAAAAACACACATGCATGTAAAGAACGACAACGGGTTAAAAAAGGGAAAATGAGTATTTGTGGAAGACTATATCAGTCAATCAATCAGACTTTATTCTTATAGTACTTTTCATACAAATGAAAACTTAATGTGCTTTTGGAACAAAGGTAATAAAAAGGTAATTACAACAATTAATTTAAAAAAAATACCTGAGGATCTTCTAGTGTAGATGTGTGTATAAGAGCATGTTTAAAGTGAACTAAAAGATTTGCACAAATTGTGCAGATTCTGATGCTAGAAGTGAATAGTTATTGATGATAAATTTAGGGTTATTGACACTTTGATGTGCAATGCAGCAGAGTGACTGAATCAGACATTAACAGGTATGTAATATTCAGTGCATACAGCTGTTAATGTCATTATATACTGACTCAGGTTTGGAGTTGAAGCCTATTAAATGGCATCACAATTATTATCAAAATGCATGTTGGAGCTGTCTGACAACGTTATTGTTTGTGTCGGCGGAAGTGATCGCCTTTGACAATGAGGATGTGTGTTGTTATTTGCTGGATGTGTGTAGCTGCACAGCCACACACGAGCCAGGCGCCCTCCTGATGACCGCTGGCGCCGCAACGTCTGGTCCACTTTCAGAGAGTACCACATTTAAACGCACACCTGCACTTACACCACCGGCATGGACCTGGAAACGCGTGTCGCTCTCCTTGATGTCGGACGGGATGTTTTCATCTGATGCGCAGGCTCTAAAAACCCGTGCTGCAGGCTACGTAGCTCTGCTTTGCATTGAATAAAGTCTGCAAGAAGCACCGTGAAGCGAAAACAATTTTGTTTGTTCAATATATACTGAATCGATTAAGTGTGCATCACAAAGTATAGTTAATAGGAGTGAAGAGGCTGATTTCTACTTATTTACAAAGTAAAAGTGTCGCGTGGGTTGGGCGGAGTGTAAAGAAGTGCGGATGGGGGTGGGGGGGGTGCGTTTATTATCACGCATGCGCAGTTTCATACCGGCGACGGCTGTTCAAACGGTGGCCTAGCGACTAAGGGGATTACGGAGCCCAATCTGACAGGTCAGATAACAATAAATGCATACATTTTCGCGCTGTTTCTTTGTCAGCGCTCTATAAAGTGATTCGAATTGATTTCTTAAAGTCAGAAACGTTTCGGAAACGTTGAACTGCCTCACGAGCTGACGTTAACGTTGGGTTTCAGAGCTAAGCTAACGGTAGCTAATGCAGCTAGCCACTGTTTGCCAGCTAGCTCTCGGTAGTAGAAGGGGGCTAACAACGGCTTTGACATTAGCCAGCTGACCAAGTGTAGCCTCTCCGCGGAGCCGTTCTTCAATATTTTTGCTTTGCCGTGTGCTTTGCTGATTTGTGAATCGATAACGGGCGACATTGCCCCTGATCAGTAGACAATAATATGTTTGGTTCCTCACTAATAACGCAGTGTCAAGTCACAGAAAGCTAACCCGCTAGCTTGTATCCTTAAATGCCCCCATTTGTTGAACTGTCTTTGATAAGAGGAAAATGCCCCGTTAGCAACGCCGTCAATTATATAACCAACATATAAAGGTTTTCTGTATGGGTCGTTACCTTAGTTAGTGATTGTCCTGCTAAGTCTTAGAATCGACACATGAGGAAGGCAAGTGAAGGGTGCCCTGCATGTAATGTTATGCTGTTGGGGGTGCAAAAGAGGGCTTTGCTATCTGTCATTATGGTACTGTGTTGTAAATTTGGAATTTTAAAAAAAAAAAGTGTGCTCCTAGTAATTTCAAAACTTGCTCTGATAATAGACTTCTGCTTGTTCTCAGGCTGCACAATGAGTCAGGGTAAGGACAATGCACGACTCAAGAGCTACAAGAACAAGTCTCTCAACACAGATGAAATGAGAAGAAGGAGGGAAGAGGAAGGCCTGCAGCTCCGCAAACAGAAGAAGGACGAACAAGTGAGTAAAGTGCAGCGAAAGTCATGTGTGTGATGTAAAAATGAAGGACTTGTGGCCCCGCTTTACAGGCCATCGTCAAACATCAACAGTCCTACTGATTCTGAAATGTCATGGGGTAGTCCTGCTGTGTTGTTAGCAATGTAATCATTAGTGGGAAATAAACTCAATTAAACCACAATATTTGTCTAAATATTTATCTATATATTTTACAGCTTTTTAAGAGGAGGAATGTTGCCACTGTGGAAGATGATGGCATCCTGGAGGATGATGGAATGGCCGACAGTGGCTATCTGGAGTCCCAGGCTAACAACATGGACCCTCTCGCGGTTAGAAGGCGTTCATCAGACAGCCTGCTATTTAAAGTCAGATGTGACAGCATTTCATGTGTATTTTATCAATTCTTCATCACTTTGCTGTGCAGGGTGGGGTCATCTCTGAAGACATGACTCAAATGATCTTCTCCAGCTCTCCTGAGCAGCAGCTAATAGGTACTCAGCGCTTTAGGAAACTTCTTTCTAAAGGTAAGCGTGCTCTATCTGTACATCATTACTTTGTGTATGTATGTGTTTCTCCTCTCTTCACGAGAACTGCACCTGCCTCTACACTTTATTCATTGGACTGCACTATGGTTTACAAGGGTTGGATGATCATTCGATGCCCTCAGCACAAGAAACAACACATTGTTTTATGCACACATTTATTAAATCCCCTAATTAAATTACACATCAGTTTTCTACAACAAAACATTTGCAGTGTTCAAAATCTGCTACTGTGGCTAATGTTTTACCGCTGCAACAGCATTCATGTGACTTGTGCTACATTTTAATTTGAGGAAGTAGTGTAATATGTTCCTGGAAAAGTAAGGCTATATTAATTCCTGCCATGTCACCTGCCCCTCCTGAATGTCCCACACAGAACCCAACCCACCTATTGATGAAGTCATTGCCACTCCAGGGGTGGTGGAGCGTTTTGTTGAATTCCTGAAGAGAAGAGAAAACTGCACATTGCAGGTACATGTCCTTATTAAAATGTTGCAGCCAAGGTGTGACAAAGCTGAGCAAGTTAAGATGGCATGAAAGATTGCACAGTTGACTTTGTTTTTGTTTATGATGTGCTATTCCTGTCCTAACTTTATATTTCAATATGTTGGGGGTGGTACAATTACTTTTCTGTATTTTGAATATTGTTTTAGTTTGAGGCTGCATGGGTGTTGACCAACATTGCTTCAGGTACATCCCACCAGACTCGGGTGGTAATCCAGGCGGGAGCTGTGCCCATATTCATAGAGATGCTCAGCTCGGACTTTGAAGACGTACAGGAACAAGTAAGGAGGATTTCTTGACTTTTGTTGCTGCCTTATCTCAGCTATTTCTTTTCCTTACTGCGTGTCCTAATCAGGCTGAATAAAGCATAGTCCTATCATTGAAAATTGTACATTTTTAATGTTGTTTATTGTCTGACTTGTATAATTGCTTCTCCCCTCAGGCAGTGTGGGCCTTGGGAAACATAGCAGGAGATAGCACAGAATGCAGAGACTTTGTCATAGACTGCAACATTCTGCCTTCACTGGTGCAGTAAGTAGCAGCTCAGTGTTGCATTGTATTCTTCCTAAATATTCTTGTTGTACTTGCAAAAGCATAAGAGCAACTTTGATCCCATATCCTTGGTAAAATTCTACATGGTACGATTTCTCTTGCAGGTTACTGGCCAAACAAAATCGGCTAACGATGATGAGGAATGCAGTGTGGGCGCTCTCAAACCTGTGCAGAGGAAAGAACCCACCTCCAGACTTCACTAAGGTAATTTGCCAAGATAAACATATCACTATGGCAACTGCACACCTCTCACATTGCTAAAGTACATTATATCTTTTCAAGGTCACAAGCTGGATAAAGTTGCTTATGTTTGAACTGGAAAACCGTTGTACCCACAGATCTTAACACAACTCATGTTTTCTCCCACCACTTTTCTGTGTCAAATTGTTCCTTCTAGGTGTCCCCATGTCTCAGTGTGCTGTCTTGGCTGCTGTTTGTCAATGACACAGACATCCTGGCTGACGCATGCTGGGCAC